GAGGGGCTGAGTGGGCAGCATGCTGAGCCTTGCCCCTCTGTGCCCGTGTGTGTTCTGGGCTGGCCCATGTGCCCTGTGCCAGGCAGCAGCGCACAGTAAGGAGCTGGGTTTCCTTGTGCGTCACAGGAGGGCGGACCAGTGCAGGGCTCCCCAGCCCCCTGTGTCCCGGAAGGATACCCCGGGCTCTTGCCTTGCTCCCCTGGGGCGCTGCCTCAAGGTCACTGTGACCTCCAGGGGCCCAGCCTCCGGTGCTGCTGGGTGGTGTGGCTGCTGCTCCTCTTCCTCCCCGGCCTCCAGGCCCTTCTCCATCCGTCCATCTGTCCTCTCCTCCCCGGCGCCCTCAGCCCTGGCTCTGACGGCATCTGGAGCTCATGACTCTGCGGTTATTTTTACATCCCAGACGCCGGTCCAGCTGCCTGCCTGTGGCCCAGCTTTGGGTCTCCTGGGCGGTCCCACCTCCCTCGCCCAAGAAGGACCCCGTACCAGCCCCAGCCCCACAGCCAGCTCACCCATCCTTCAAGGCCTCCAACGGCTCACCTCCGGGAGCACCATGGCCTCCTCTCTGGCTGCCCTGGCCCCTGCAGCTGCCTCTGTCCCTTGTCCTGCCCAGCACATGTCTGCGGTGTCCCTGCTGTATGGGCAGGGCCTCTGCCCATCCAGGGTGGGCTTTGTGGGCACAGCCAGGCCTGCCCTGCATTCTGGGTGCCGTGGGTGCTCCCTGGGCCCCAGGGCAGCTGCTGTGGCCGCTCCTTCTGGAAGTGCTGTTCCCTCCTGAAAGAGCCCCCAGCCCCACGCCAGGTGGTCCCTGCCCTGCACCAGGCCCCTGCATGGCCCTTTGCGGGCCCAGAGGCTCTTGGGCTGCCCTGCGTCCCCCGTCCTCGTCACGGCCTGAAGCCCCCTGCTCACACCCCCAGGGTCAGGGTCCCAGCACCTGCACCTTGGGTGCTCACGGCGCTCCGACCCCAGCCCTGTGTGGCGTGTGTTGGTGTGGATGTGGGGTGGGGTGACCCTCCCTGCCTTGCGCTCCCTTTGCCTTCCCTTGCACCGCCTCCCACTGGTGACCCCAGTGCCCCTACTCAGCCACGTGCGGTCCTGGTCCCCGCATCTGCAGTGGGTGCCCAGCTGCCAGGCCCCCATGCTTCTTGCCATGCGATGGGCATCTGGCGGACCAGGCCCAGGAGGTGTGCAGGCTGGCTCAGGTGGCGGCCCGGGTGCGGGTCCCGTGTCCCTCTGCTGGGCATCGTCCCCAGCGCGTGGTGCTAGCCACCTCCAGCCCAGACCCAATGTCTGTGGCGCTGCCAGAGGAGGTGACTTTGGCAGCAAGATGGTTTTGCCTGGGGTGATAGGGCTGGGGAGAGGCTGAAACAGTGGTGCCACCCTTGCCCACATGTGAGGTGCTCCTGCTGCCCACCCAACTCTCCCCAAAACCAGGCTGTGGAGCCCTGGTCGGGCCTAGCTGGGGTGGAGCTGGGCTGCTTCCCTCCCTCCCCCTGGCTCCGTCTGTACTGGAAACGCTCTGGCGTTGGTAACTGGGGCGGCCACAGCAGCCAGGCAGACACCGGCCCCTCGAGACCCGAGGTGGAAGTCTGGGGTCCGGGCGTGGGCGGGGTACTCCTGTTTCCTAGCTCCTCCGCAGGGCCTCCAGGTGCCCTCCTCCCTGTCTGTCTCCTCTTCTGCCTCCCACAAGGTCCCGCTCATTGGGTTGAACTTTAGGGGCCGCCTGGCTGGGTGGGATGTTGCATTCTTTATTCAAAGCAACACTTCATCCTGTGAGCTCCGCACTCTGGGAGGCTGAGTCAGGAGGACCCCACGTTCAAGCCTGTGGAGGCAGAAGTCTGAGGTCAAGGTGTAACCTCAGAGCAATGGGTCCAGCTCACCTTGAGTCCCTGGGCCCGGTGCTGCTGTTTCCCAAATGTTACACTCAGGTCCCGGGGTCAGGACATATTTGGGGGCACTGCTTGTGGATGCAGGAAGTGCAGACGGAGTCTGCATCTGTAGACAGTGTTCAGAGACCAGCCAGGCGGCACCAGGGCATCAGGAGAGGGTCTCGCGGACACACAGCGCCCTGCATGCCGCCCAAACAGGCTTGCATTTCACATCCAGGCCAAAGACCTGCTGGGTGGCCAGCAAACCCCACCCATGCCAGGATCAGCAAACTGTGGTCTCAGGGCTGAATCCAGCCAGCACCTGAGCTCCGCACGGGGAGTCTGAGTCAGGAGGACCCCACGTTCAAGCCTGTGGAGGCAGAAGTCTGAGGTCAAGGTGTAACCTCAGAGCAATGGGTCCAGCTCACCTTGAGTCCCTGGGCCCGGTGCTGCTGTTTCCCAAATGTTACACTCAGGTCCCGGGGTCAGGACATATTTGGGGGCACTGCTTGTGGATGCAGGAAGTGCAGACGGAGTCTGCATCTGTAGACAGTGTTCAGAGACCAGCCAGGCGGCACCAGGGCATCAGGAGAGGGTCTCGCGGACACACAGCGCCCTGCATGCCGCCCAAACAGGCTTGCATTTCACATCCAGGCCAAAGACCTGCTGGGTGGCCAGCAAACCCCACCCATGCCAGGATCAGCAAACTGTGGTCTCAGGGCTGAATCCAGCCAGCACCTGCTTCTGTGATAGTTTTATTGGAAGTAGCCGCAGCCAAACACACACATGCCACCAAGGACTCTTTTTTTTTTTTTTTTTTTTTTTTTTTTTTTTTTGGCTTTTTGAGGCAGGGTCTCACTATATAGTTGAGACTGACCTGAAACTCACTGTGTAGCCCAGGCTGGTCTCAAACTCACAGCGATCCTCCTGCCTCAGACTCCTGAGTGCTGGGATTACAGGTGTGCGCCACCATGCCTGGCTTACCAAGGGCTCTTCTTGAGTTAAGCCATTGTGCTGGGTGCTGTGAACCCCAAAAGCTAAAGCCACTTCCTGTCTGGAGCTTACAGGAATGTGTGCTGACTCAGTGCTGTCAGGAGTACAGCTTCTTTTGCAGGAGTGAGGATGGAACCCAGGGCCTCGCACATGCTAGGCAAGTGCTCCTCACGGAGTGGCTGCCCAGCCCTTTTTATTTTTATGTTGAGACAGTCTCACCAGGTTGCCCAGGGTTGCCTTGAACTTGGAATCCTCCTGCCTCAGCCTTGCAGAGTGCTGGGATCATAGGATGGGGTGTAACTCCTTGAATAAAGGAGGCAACACCTCTCATGCCAAGCTGGCCAGGCTGCCCTACAGCAGCTATCACCTGGACAGCAGCCTGCAGTCCTCCAGGTGGCATGTTGTCTAGCCCCGAGCCTGTCACTGAGGTGGTGGCCCTCAGGAGCACTGCAGGCTGCTGGGTGGCTGTGAGGGGAGCCTCCTGCAGGTGGCGTCCAGGTGAGCCCTACAGGAGGCAGGAGCCACAGGCAGTGGGGCCTTGGCCTGGGACAGCAGTGTGGCCACTGGTCTGGGACAGGACAGGGGCCACTGTGTGGGGGGACAGTGGGACAGAGACGGGAGTCTGGGGAGGAGCGAGGCAGGAGGGAGTCTGGATGTTTCCCAGGGCAGGCGACTCACGTTCGAGCCCTTGCTGCTCCGGCGCGAGGAGAGAGGGTTCCTGGCCCATATGTGGGCAGCAGTGAAGGTGCCCAGCACTATAGTGCCAGCCCCAAAGGCAGCTGCAGAAGCTGGTCACTGGCAGAAGAACCACCACTATGGGGCAGGTCTCAGGGGACAGAAGGGTCCCTGCTGGGGCAGGGCAGTGACAGAAGCGTGCTGCGTGGCCACACCTGCTGTACCAACCCGGTCCTTGGTGCCTTGTGGCCAGATCTGCGGAAGCTGACCGCGCCTGACGCCCCTGTTTTGGGGTCACGGGCCCGGGCAGATGGAGGCGGCTATGCCGTGCTCACGCCCACTGCTGCCCGCGGCTTCCGTTGCCCTTTCCGTGCCACGCTGCCCCTTGGGTTTAATTCCCTGGTGCTCTGGGGATGTGGTCGGAGGACGATTCCCGTGAGGACTTACTCTTCCATGCTGCCTTATTAGACTGCTTCTCCAGCCTGGGTGTATTGCTCTGCCCATGAGCTCGCATCTGCATGGGCCCTCTTGACACCCTCGGAGAGGCTGGGCCGCAGCGGATGGGTTTCTGGTTGTTTTTCTTCCTCAAACTGGGAGTACTTTTGGGCTTCTGTGCTTATAAACATTCAGGCACTGGATATAGTCAAAAGGAAGTAAAGTTCTGCTATGCCCACTGGGCCCCTGTTTTTGTCAGTCATCCGCGCCTGCTGGCTTCCCTGCTGCCTCTCAGAGACACAGAGACGGGTCCGCTGGACCTCAGCTGCCTACAGCGTGACCTCTGGCCACACTGAGCCTGCTTAGGCCGAGGCTCTGGGCCTGGTGTGGGGCTGGCTGGGAAGGGAGCAGATGTGATGGTCTGTACAGGCTTAGCGGCAGAACCCACGTGTTTTGGTCCCCTGCGTTCTGTCCCTGGGGGTTTGCCAGGCTGTACGGGTGCCGCATCTGCTCCTCAGAGGCCTGGAGTGCACACGGTCCCACTGCCCCGAGCACGGGCCTGGGCTTGGCGCCTTGAGCTGCTGGCAGGACTTGTCCCATAGGGGCCATGTGCAGGTGCTTGCCTTGGGCCCCAGTCCTTCCCTCTTCAAAGGTGGGTGTCCTGGGCTCCCCGGCTGCTGGGCATCCTGCCTGGATGGCATGGAGGGCAGGGTCTCTGTGCGGTGTCCTCTGTAGTGTTGGACAGAGCATGTGCCCAGGGCCACACGGGGACAGCTGGGTGAGCCCCTTCTCAGGCCTGGCAGCGTGATGGGGTGAAGTTAGGGTGGCAGTGGGGACTGGGGATGGAGCACTGATCGTCCTGGAAGGTCCTGCCTGCATTGAGACTCAGGCCAGAGCCAGGGGAGGATGGAGCCTGGGTCTCTGGATGGTGGCTGGGGCAGAGGCTGGAGGCCCAGCAATGTCCCCACTGCTCCCTGGGGCTGGGGCTCAGGCCACAGTCAGAAACCCATGCACCAGGAGGTGAGGCTGGTCTGGGTGTGGGGTGCAGTGGGGACAGAGTGGGCAGCAGTGCAGGCAGCAAGTCAGACTCCAGGACAGGGTGGCATGGACATCTTGGGGTCGCAGCCCAGGCCAGGGCAGAGGGCAGGGTGCACTCAGCCCTGACGCTGGCCTCTTGCCTGCAGACTGCCTGCTGATGCTGGTCTACAAGGACAGGGCTGAGCGCTCCCGGGGCCTCCACGAGCGCAGCAGCCTCACCCTGGCGGACATCTGTGGCCTGGAGCCCAGCCTGGCCTATGAGGGCCTGGCCCACACGCTGGCCATCATCTGCCTGTCCCAGGCCGTCATGCTGGGCTTCGACAGCCGCGAGGCCATGTGCGCGTGGGACACCCGCATCCGCCACGCGCTGGGCGAGGGTGAGTGGTGGCAGGCGGCTCCCTCACCACTCGGGATGAGAGCCCAGGGAGAGGGGCACTGACTTTCCAGAAGCTTCTCCAGTGGGGCCCTACCTGGCCCGGGGAGCCCCCTTTCCTTTATGCTGTGGAGAAGGTTGTCACAGGGGCAGGGGCTGCCCAGGCCACATACAGACTCCTGAGTGACCCCACGTGGCCCTGCAGGGCTCTGGGTACTCGGGTGGGGTGTGGCACTGGAACTACTGACCCTCGGCTCCAGGACTCAGGGTGAAGAGGCAGAGGCCGGCAGGTGGGCGCTGCAGTCCAGCGGCCTCTCCCTTCTCACGCTGAGCTGTCTGCATGGGTGGGGAGAGGGGAGCAGGGTGTGGGTGTCGGGCTGAGCTAAGCAGGGACAGTGGGTCCCACCCCCAGCAGGCCTGGGCCAGGCCTATCCAGGGTGCAGGCTGAGGCACAAACCTCACTCCTCTCCCTGGCAGGGTGTCGGGCCCCTGGAGCCTCGGTTTCCCCTTCTGTGCACAGGCACTCACCATGCGTGTGGCTGCTGTCAGGGCAGGGTGGCTGGCACACAGCCCTGCAGCCCCTGCCTGAGCTAAGGTGGTGCCCCGCACGGAGAGCTTAGCCCTGCGTGCGTGGTGTGAGGGCCACTCCTGTCCTGGCCAGCCCCACCCTGCCCCACCAGTGACGTCCTCTGCCCCGGCTCGCCCTCCAGTGCACAGGTTCCCTGTGACAGTGGCTCCTGGCACCAAGCTGGAGAGCGGCCCAGCCACCCTCCACCTCTGCAACGACATCCTCGTCCTGGCCAGGGATGTCCCCCCAGCCGTCACGGGGCAGTGGAAGTTGTCCAACCTCCGGCGCTACGGGGCTGTGCCCAACGGCTTCATCTTCGAAGGCGGGACCAGGTGTGGGTACTGTAAGTATCTGGGCCACTCGGGGGTGGGAGGAGGGACCCCAGCATCTTGGTGCCAGGCCTGCGGAGTCCTCTCTCTCAGACTGAATGAAAAGGCAGGAGGCAGTGGTGTGTGTGGTGACGGGCGTGGGCCCTGCCCCCAGCCTGCTGAGCCTGTTGCAGGGTGCCGGGCCTCCTTCTCTCTGCCAAGGGCACACAGCCTCCTGGGGGCCGGGCCCTCCAGGACTGAGGTGACCATGGACAGGATGTCAGTGGCCAGGCCTCGGTGCCCCGTGTCCTCGCCTTACTCCGCCCTGGGGCCGCTGGTCAGGACCCGCCTGGGCTGGGTGGGGATGGAGGCCTCACCCCCCCCCACTCCTTCCCTGTTCCGCTGACCCTGACCTTCGAGAGGGGACGCTCAGTCCTCTGCCAGATTAGTGCCAGATCCTGAGCTCTGGAGCAGGGACCCTAGAGGTGAACATGGGAGACCAGGAGCCACAGCCTTGGCCGCTTGGCCCAGAGCCCCGCTCTGGAGTTCCTGCACTGCTCTGAGCAGGGGCAGAGGATCAGTGTCCAGACTCAGGCTGGGTGGGCAGGCCGCTGTCTGCCTAGACCTGCTACCTCCTCTTCTGTGTATGTGGCCGTCCTGGGTGTCACACATGGCTGCCTGTACAGAAGTGTGGCGTTGTTGTGGTGTTTGCCTGGCCGGCCAGAGACCTGGGGGGACACCCCAGGGGTGGCCAGGTGCTTCTGTGAGCGGTCTGGAGCCAGTGCCATGAAGCAAGCGCCCACTGGGGCCCATGGTTGACTGGCAGCCACCTGGCCCTGCGTCAGGCCCAGGCAGATTCTCGGGAACTCTCTCCCCTCAGACCTAGGGTTGCTGGTGGCTGGAGACCTTGGGGACGACCCCTGTACCCTTGGTGCTCTGCTGGCAGGCTGGGGTACTCCCGGGCTGGCCTGTCCCTTGGTCCCCACAGGCCCCACTGGAAGCAAGCTTGGCCACTTACCTGACTGGTCTGAGCTGGTTTATGTGTTCATGGAACCTCCTCAGCCTGGTGCCAGGGGTGTGGTCAGATATCAGCGCTAGTGAGGGAGCCCAGGGGCCATCTCTGGAGAGGAGCTGGCGTCTGTGTGGCCTGGGGAGCAGTGGGTGCTGTGTCCCATGCCTACCGTGGCAGATGACAGCACACTGGGTGGCCCCTTCTCAGTCACGGGGCCAGAGTCCCAGTGCAGGTAAGCAGGGCCTTGTTTTAAGGGCTCTGGGGGTCCCCACTTCCTCTTCCAGCTCCCAAGGGTCTTGTCTCCCTGGCCTTGTCACCCTGGGCACATCACCCCGTCTCCCTTCTCGCATGAGGACGCAGTCCCTGGATGTGGGGCCCACCTGGGTAAACCTGAGACCCCTACTTCGTTACATTTTCGAAGACCACTTATTTGAGGTGGAAACTTGTCCCTTAGGGGCCACCATTCAGCTGTGACGGTTCTAGAATCACGGCCAGTCTATGGCCCTGGCACACACGACCTGAGAGCACAGAGCTAGAGGAAGGTTGCTGGTGTGCAGAATCAGTGTCTTTCTTTGCCCTGGGTGCAGGTTGCAGCCTGGCCCTCAGCCCCTCGCCAGGCCCCTCACCTGCCTACCGCAGACCTGCATCTGGGCATCAGGACTGGAGAGGCAGAGAGCAGGCCCAGGGCAGAGTGGACCAGGAAGGGAAGGTGTGGGCGCCCTGGGAGCCAGCATCTCGGATGAGCTACAGTCTGGAGGAGAGGCCGAGTCCAGAAGCCCCTGCCCCTGGTCTCTGCTGGCCTGGCCTTGGGCAGGAGCCTGGCTGAGGACCCTGCAATGGCCGGCAGTGGGTGGGTTCCCAGTCAGCCCTGAGCTGTAGCCCCTCAGGGATGCTCTGAGTCAGCAGCGCCTCCCCTCTTTGTGGGTCCCCCGGTGAGGACTCAGGGTGGCACACCACCAGCAGACTGATTTCCATTCCCGAGCATCATCTCTAGCCCGAGCACTATGTTTCTCAGAGTCACAGCCCCTGGGGGTGTTGGGGCCCCTTTGGTGGCACATTACAGGGGTAGGAGTGGGGAGCTGGCCCCTGTGTGGTCCTCACACCCAAACCAAGGCCCATGTCTCCATCGCTGTCCACAGGGACACAAGGTCGTGTGAGACATGACCAGGCGTTGGGCACAGGGCTGTGGTCCGGTGATGCCTGTGACCCTGGGGTACAGACGCTTGGAGGAAGAGGCTGTGGGCAGGGTCGGGCCAGGAGTGGCAGGGAGGACACATGGCATCTGTAGTGACCTCTGCAGTTTCTAGAGCAGGGCCTGCACTGGGTCGCCCAGCCTGAGACGACCCACCGCCCTCCACGGCCTGCGGCGAAGTCTGCCCACTCGGGATTCCCACGGGGCCTCCTCTCTGCACTGCAGGATGGGTCTGTGCCTGTCTGTGTCCAGGGAGGCATTCAGAGCCAGGCTGGCTTCAGCAGGCATCCAGGGACCCCTCCCCTGCCCCTGCACAGAGAAGACCAAGGCGCGGGCTGCCCTGTTGCTCAGGGGCAGCTTTTGGGGCTGAGGAGAGGCTGTGGCCCTCCCTGCCCCGTGGCTCCTGCCTGGTGAGCCCTGGCTGGCATGCAAAGCCTCTCTTCCTCTTCCTCTCGAGGAACAAGGGCCCTGCAGGGCAGGGTGGGCCCAAGCTGGTGGCCACCAGGCAGGACAGCTGCCGGGAGCTGGATGCTCACAGCTGTCACCGCCGGTTTGCTGTGGGCTGGGAGTGGCCCAGGGCAGGCGCAGCGTCCCCCTTCCCTCCAGGCTGCATGGCTCGGCTTGCATTTACAAAGGGGAGACGCGGGATTTCAGGGGTGACACACGACATACCTGCAGACCCTCCTGCCCTCTTGTGACTTCTCTGAGCCTGTCTCCTCACCTCCGTGTGGACCCTTGTGTCCCTCGTGTGTGCAGCCCCGGGCAGGGTTAAGAGTCCCCTCGGCCTCCGGGAGGCTCCCACACTGCACAGCCTGCCGCTTCCTGTGTTTGGGAGGAGTCCGCTCTGGCCGAGGGTCTCTGGTGCCGGGGTGTCCTCTCCTCAGTGGCCCTGCACCCCTGCACTGTGACTGTGCCCCAAGTTTGCAGTCTCCTGTCCCACGACAGGGACTCTGAGGACAGCCAAGGGCAGGACCCTCATGGCGTCCTTGGGAACTGCAGAGAAAATACGAGCCAGGCAGGGCCCCTTGGCAGGGTCAGGGGGTGGCCACGTAGGTGCCTGAAGGTCTGGGATGGGGTGGAGCTGGTGATGGGACTGAGTGGCCTCAGGCTGGCACTCGGGGGGCATTGGGTGCCTTTAGGGGCCGAGGCACTTGGAAATGTGTGTGCGGGGTCACTGTGACTGATGGTGAGGATGTGTGTGGCAGCTGGAGGGGCAGTGATCTCTCAGCACAGGGGACACAGTGGTGTTGCTCTGAGGGCCCAGGACACAGCACATCCGAGGCCCAGGCAGCCCAGGGCCCCCAGAAGGCTAAAGCCGGCTCCGACAGGGTGGCCCGGTGCTAACCGGGCCCAGGGACACCCGCAGCAGGGCCAGCATTCCCGGTTCCTTCCTCCGGGACGAGGGCAGAAGCTGTTCTCTGCTGGTAGCTGCCTGCTTCCTGCTCTGCGTCCTGAGAGTTGCTTGCTCCTTGTGTTTACCTTGTGCTGTGCAGGCTGCGTGACAAATGGCCCCGAGCACAGTGGCTGCCTGTTGCTTGCAATTCTGTGCTGGGATCGGGCCCTGCACCCAGGGCGATCGCTGGCTTCCAAGGGGGGATCAGGGTTGGGCCGGGAAGGAATCACAAAGGGTGGGCCCATGGCCCACACCCAGGAAGTCAGTGACGGTCAAGGAGGCCAGGGCTGCAGAGATGATGGTGGCCGTCTCCTAGCAGAGGCATGTGCCTGGCTCTGAGGGCCCTCAGAGATGGTGCCCTACAGGGGATGCCAGGTGGGCACACTGGGGGCCCAGGCAGCCAATTACCAGGCTCCCAGGACCCCACCTGGCCACCCTGGTCTTCTGGGGGCAGAGCACGGTCCTCCACAAACACCCTGGCAGAATGCAGGGCCGGCTCCACTCCCTGCACAGTGTTTTTATAGTCGGGGGACTGATTGTCCCGCAGCCTCTGCCAGCTGTCTGTAAGCGCAGGATTAGAGGCCTGGCCCTTTGTGAGCACTGGGGCTGGGAGCTGGGCCGTGGCCCTGGGTGGGGTGGCTGGTAGGGACAGGGAGCCTCCATGAGATGCTCGTGTGAGCTGGCAGCAGGCCTACCCAGCCCTGGAGCGGGGGGCACATCCTCCAGGGCCAGCGGAGTGTGTGAGCCTTGGAGGTTCTGTGGGGAGACACAGCACCACCCTCCCTACAGAGGAGTCAGAAGCTCTCGTGCCAGGCCCAGCACAGCTGGCCCCCAGACCTGCCTGAGCCCACTCAGCTGTGTGACTGTGCCCCCTGGGCCTCAGTTTCTCCTCTCTAGAGCTGGAGTGGCACTGTTTTGTCACCTGGTTTAGAGGCATCACCTGGGCAGGGCTTCCACAGTCACAGGGAGGCCCTGCCGAGCGCCCTGGGCTGGCTGTGCACTGGGGCCAGCACCCATGCAGTCCCAGCCCTGTGCCCGGGAGGGCAGAGAGCGGCCGGAGGCAGAGCTGTAGCTCCAAGCCCTGTGGATCTGTGCTTCTTCCGGCCCAGCCCCCAGAGCCACGTGCGAGGGGCCCAGCGTGCGGCCACCCCGTGCCTTTCTTTGGGCAATGACAGAGGCCCGGGAGGAGAGGGATTCTTGGGCGGTGACGCCTCACAGAGCCTCTGGCCCACATGGCCGGCTCAGCAGGTGGGCGCAGCTGGCCTGGCCTCCCCATTCACGCGGCCAGCAAGGATTTCATTCACTGTGGCCACAGCCCTGGGCCCTCCCTGCTGACTCACTGCCCTGGGCGACTCCTCTGCCCAGTGGCCTTCTCCTCTGCAGAGCGGGCACAGTGAGTGGAGGTGGCCCCCACGTGCCTGTGGCCCTGATGGTCTACCCAGGAGCTCCAGGCAGAGGCGCAGTCCGCCTGATGAGGGGGATGCTGTGCTGGCCAGGTATGGCTGGTTGTGGCAGGCAGGTGCCACACTGTCATGAGTTGGAGTGGCCTCACAGCGGCCCTGGGCGAGGGGCCGGGAAGGCTGGTGTCACCTGCTGCAACAAGCACTGTCCTCGGATGTGACCCAACTCCAGGCTGCCTGGAACAGCCCCTGTGGAGGGGCTGCTGTCCTCTGGTACAGACAGGGAAACTGAGGCTCAGAGGCCAGGGACTGCTTACATAGTTGCCTGGTGCTGGAACCTGGGTGTCCCTGAGGAGGGTGGGCACCCTGCCTTTGTGGGAGGATGGGCTCTGTCCGTGTGCAGCCGGGACGGGACCCTGCACTGACCGCTGTGCTCCAGCCTTGCAGATGGCCTGGGTCGGGGCCACGCTTCCACACAGGCCACCCCTGCGGTTTCCAGGCTGGCCTCACGGACAGGCTGGAGTCCCACAAGGCAGCTGGTGAGGGCTGTGGCCCAGCTGCCCAGCTGCCCTGATACCCTGTGTGCCAGACACAGGCAGTGGGCCCCCTTGGGGTGCAGAAGGGATTAAGTCCTGGGCTCTGGGCCACTGTCCTGGGCCAGGTGAGTGAGTCCTGCACAGTGAGCTGGCCAGGCTGACCCATCTCTCTGTCCTCCCTCTGCAGGGGCCGGAGTCTTCTTCCTGTCCTCAGCCGAGGGGGAGCAGATCAGCTTCCTGTTTGACTGCATCGTCCGCGGCATCTCCCCGACCAAGGGCCCCTTCGGGCTGCGGCCAGTTCTCCCAGGTGTGTGGCGGCTTGGCCAGGCTGGGCCCAGGTGGGGAGGGTGCTTGGTGGGCCCCCACAGTGGCCAAGGCCTGAGGGCCACCCTAACTCATCTGCCCAGCTAGGTGGCTGCCTGTTTCCACCTGCAGGTAAGAAACTGTACCCATGTTGGCCTAGACTGCGGCCAGGGCCACACACCACCAGACAGCCTGGGGCTTTGAGGGGTCTAGGCTCTCCATCCATGGGGTCTGAGCTCTGGGAACCCTTGGGTCCTGGCATCTGATTGGGACAGTTTTGCCAAAACTGTGGCTGGATGGGCAGAAAGAGGCCTGGGATCCTGGGAACTTCCTGTCTCCCAGATGATTCTGGTCCAGGATGGTTTCCTCTGGTGTGTGGGGTCTGGGGTGCATTGGGCAGGGCCCCAGGAGCACGTCTCCCATCCCCCAGTTGTAGCTGGGCACTGTGTCCTTGGAGTGGCCAGGGACATTATTGGACCCACACAGCCCAGGAACAAAGGGCTCGACAGGGCTCCCAGGTTCTGGCACGCCCAGGGGAGAGGGCTGTGTGGCCAGTCTCTGATGCTCCTTTCAGCCCCGAGAGGACAGAGCTTGTCCTCCTGCCCAGATGTATCCTGGGAGGGCAGAGCAGCAAGCTGTGCTACTCCCAAGCTAGGCACCCCCACCCCAGCACAGTGGCCGCCCACCCCAGAGCCTCAAGTGGCATAGTCACTGGGGAGGGAGAAGGGAGCGCCCAGCCTGGAGCCCTCCTGCTGCCAGGCTCTGCAGGATGATGTGGCAGCACCCCCTGCTGTCCTTGTTATTGCTTTGCAGCTGCAGGCACAGGTACAGCTGGCCTGGACAGTGTATGGACAGTGAGGGCCTAGCTGCAGGCCTCCGTCCCTCGTGACCCACAAGGTTACAGCATGGGACAACAGGTGCAGGTGTGGTGACCAGAGGGGCTGTGCATTCCCCAGAATTCAGATGTGGTGGGGTGGCTCGGGGGTTAGCAGCCCAGGCTGGGAGCCTTGGGTGTCCTGTGAGGCTCAGCACCTGGGAGACAGCTCTGGCACCTTGGTGGGTGGGTGGGGTCTTCCAGATTAGGGAGGCTCCATGTTTGGGGACCCAGGCTGAGCAGTGGGGGGCCTGGGTGGGGCTGCTTCGGTACCCTGATGTGGTCCGGGCATCTGGAGCTGAGGCGTAGGGAGGATCTGGGTCATGGGGAGCCCTGTGTTGGGGCCGTCCCAGGACGCGGCTCTGAAGCCACCAGACCCACTGCGAAGTGCAGCATTGTGGAGCTGGGTGGAGACGGCGCAGCCTCACAACCCTTCCCTCTGCCGTAGACCCGAGCTCTGGTGGGCTCTCGGCCGCGGAGGAGCGCTCGGCCCAGGAGGCGCTGGAAGCCCTGCAGCTGGAGAAGCGGCTCAGCACCCTCTCCCACACGGGCCGGCCGGGCAGTGGAGGTATGGCCTACGGCAGCCGGGACCTCGCGCACAGCCCATCTCCCCGCAGGGTCAGAGCCGCTCGTGCTGCTCCCGAGTGTGTGCAGCTGCCGTCACCCGTTTCCCCTCCATGCGTGCTCCTCCCCTGGCTCATCATCCGCGCTGCCTGCTCTCCCCATCCATCCATCCTTCTTTTCCCTCCTGCTCACATATTCATTCTTTATTAACTCACTTTCCTGTTCACTCACCCGCTCACTCACTGTCACACAAGCCTTTATTAAACGCTATTAGGAAGTATGTAATGGAGAGTGTGGATGCGTTGGGTTTAGTTTTTCCCCACCCAGCAGCTGGGTCTATAATCAGAGGGCCGACAGAGCTGCTGCCCAGGAGCTGCCCCTCACTGCTGTCAAGGGGAGCTAGGTGGATGGGACCGCACCCAGTGTGTGGCTGTGCCACCCCCGTCTTCCCAGGCCAGAGTGTGGGCGAGCAGGGTACTCTCTGCCTGTGCCCTGGGGCTCCTGAGCAGCGGCCCCTGACGTAGGAAGTCTCAGGCTTGCAATGGGCTCCCTACTTTCCTGGAGCTTGCTGCTGGCGTGCAGGCTGAATGAAGAAAGCAAAGACAGACGTGGCTTCCCCATGAGAACCTAGGGAGGTACGGTCTGGCTGGTGGAGGCAGAGGGTCAGTCTTAAATCTCCGATCTCTTCTTGTTCTCTGGGCTCTCGTGGTCCAGAGGGGAGGGAAGGTAGGCAGGGACATCAGCGGAGGGCAAGGCCAGGAGAGATGGGCCCTGGGGCTGGATGCAGAGCTGGAGTACAAGGAGGAGGGGACCCAGGGCGGCCACAACTTCTGGATGCAGAGGGCTGCAAGCAGGACGACTGGCGGTCCAGGTCGGTCCAGGAGAACCCCTGGTTCAGGGGCACTCGGCTAGGGCAACTGGGAGGCCCAGGCAGAGGACAGGGCTGGGACCAGGGAGTGGCTGGGAGGGAGGACTCAGGGACATGGGGTTTCTGCTCCAGTGTACAGCTGGGGCTGGGCTGTCCCTGTGCAGGCCCCACCGCAGCTCCGCCCCCTCTTGCCGCAGGGGACGACCGCAGCCTATCCAGCTCCTCCTCTGAGACCAGCCACTCAGACCTCAGCGCCAGCAGCCGGCTCACCACGTGGCCCGAGCAGTACCCATCCTCCGCTGGCACGTCGCAGGAGGG